TTAGCAGCCACATTCATTAGGCTTTTCACATCTGGTTATAGATTGTTAAAATCGTACCGATGGTGTAACAGTAACCCTAACTGGAAAGCAGTTAAAGTTTCTTCTCTGTAACTTTGCCAATTTTGCATATGATTTTCCTACTTTCTTTAGGTTTTTGGCTAGTCTTGACACATGATGGAGTGATTCAAGGGAACTAAATCAGTTCCCTTGGGGGACAACTTGTCAAAGTATTAAGTCCCTAGAAATAGGAAACTGCTTAGAAGATAGCCTGTGTCTCGAACCCAAAGATGTTAAAGCTAGCTTCTATTTTGCCAAAGAACAGTAGGTGCATTTCCATCACATAGTTTTTTCATTGGAATAAGTAACCTAGATCTTACTTTTTATTACAAATATGAATGCACTCAGCAAAAATCCTATGCCATTTACTGTAATGGGACCATAATTTTGCCTTTCTATGGGACTATCATTTGTATTCCTCATTAGAAGTGATTTTATAATGACTTCCTTAACAAGACAACCCATCAAGGAACTGATGACAACTGCATCTAGTAACATACTTAACAGATCCAGTTTGACGACTATTACACATTAGTGCATGTCATCAAAGCAGGGTGTAACGTAATATTAAATTAATGTAGCAAACACATTTGACAGTGGACCACAGTTGCTTGAGAATATGATAGGTGATAACTTAGGAGCAGAAGAATTTGCTTCGGAGTAATATTGTCTATGACTAGAATGAGAAAACACCTACTGCTTATGATGGTAGTTCGATCACTAGATTGAACAGATCTGGTTAGCAAACAGATTCATGCTTGAATCTGCTAGTGATACTTAGAGCAGTGTTTTCATGAAGGACTTCCCCAAGATTTCATTTCATTTGGTTCATAAACAGGAGTATGATAGTAGGTATCACTAAAGGAGACCTCATTCAAGTTGGCATCTTCCAGTGCACGTGTTGCCTGTTGATCAGGTCAAGTTTTACACAATTTTCCTGTGTTGCTATTCATTTTGAAATAAAAGATCCAATTGCTATTGTATGTTTCTATGACTGGAATGGAAGTGTGATGGATGAAAGTTGTTATCCTGTAGAAGAGTAAATAGGGATAACTATGGTCTTAATTCCAGTGAATGATTAACTATACATAGAGTATTATTAATAGTCAGGAAAAAGTTGCAGTTTTTCTGGACCCTGGAAATATTTTTTATTTGATACATTTTATCACAAGAAAATTCATTTTCCTGCAGTCTTAGAAACTCTTTCATAAGAAATGCTGGGAATTATTGTGCATCTTACATATGTACTACTTGCATTTAAATATTGCCAAGCATTAATGATATGCTCTGAAATCATATCTGTGTGATCTCTACCAACTTTAAATGCCTGTTGTTTGGGTATTTTTTAAGAGTGAAAAGATAAGCAAGTGGAAATGAGGTATTTCAAATTTACACCTACCCTTCAGGTTCAGTTACAGGAAGTTTTGGATCAGTGTGGCTGTTGATTACTTTGCAGACACAAGTGAACCTTTCAGGGAATGGAGGACATCCTGAAGTCTACAAAAAAGGTGGAGTGGTTGTAGTGTGAAAAGGCATGCTGGAGTTGGTCAACAGGAGTTAGTCCACATCCAAGTAGCTTTGTTCATAGGGCAGAAGAAAGCAGACTTTATTGGCAGAGATGCATCTTCTATCAGCAACATATATTCCTGATGTGTTTTAAAGAACTCACCTTACCAAACAGCATAAGTTCATGATCTTAAGGACACCTGCCAGAGTGAGTTTAATCTGTGTATAGGATTTTGCTTGTGTGGTTATGTCAGAAATTTGATGTCTCTTGACTCTTCTTTATCTTTTATTTTAGCAGATAAAATCTTATTGTATAAACCTGACTCAATTTCACTGTTGTGAATTACCTTGTCTTGGAGTTAACTATTAGTGTACAGTAATGCAGTATAGACTATTTCTGAAGTAGCCCTTTAAACTTTGTTTATAAAGTTCATTTCATGCTTTGCTTTCAGTAGAGAGAAAAGACCGAAGTATCTGTAACAGCCATCTTTTTTTAAAGACTAACAACTTTTACCACCAGAGTGATTTTGGATATTATTTTTTGTAATTCTTTTAAAATTCATTATATAAAATTAAGTGTACTGACAAAATTACCTTCTTCTTGAGGTAACAGCTGATGGTTTTGAACATACGAGCAAAACCATCATCATTTGGAAGCAAAGCCAATTTTCACTCTAAACCATTTTCACTCTCTCAGCAGAATTAATAAAATACTCAAACCTCTTTCTGTTGCAACAGTGAAAAAATGTGGTGGGAGTAACATGCAAGATGAAACCAGGTGTCGCATGTACAGGATGCTAACTTGGTAGCAAACATTTTGTATTTTCCTGGCTATCAGTTGTGAGCTGGCGTATCTCTACAGTCAGAGTGGTGTAACAACTTGGCTGGACATTTTGGGAGAGAAAGAGTAGCTGGAAGTGTGGTTACTGTTGACCCAAAGGTAAACAACAACATCTGCTAATGCTGAACAACCCGTTCGAGTTACATAAGCTGTAGTGGAAATTAGTCTCACAAATACAGCTTCAATTGCTCAGCTTTTAGCCAGAATAATGTATTTTCATGGGTAACCATGGAAGGTAACCATGCAGAGCTCTGTCCCATTTCACGCGGGCCTTTCTGGTATTCTGCTTATTTGTCTTGACTATCTCTCTGCTACATATCTGTGGTACAGATGGATCCTGACTAATTTCTTTTAGTGCTGGGAGTAGGGTGGGAATATGTCATGCTCACTCATCAGTGACCTACAGAGTATGCTGGCATTTAAGTGTATGTGTAACTTATAAAGTATATTAATATTCCCATCGACTCCTTAAAATTACTTTGATGGTTCATAACTGTACCCAGAATCTTTCGTAATTGTCTCATACATATTAAGTGTATATTCAGCATCTTCAAAGATCAGGTCTTGCACTTTCAATCAGTCCAAGCATGTAGTGCCAAATCAGTGTATCCTATTTCTGTTGAATTCTCTGTGTACTGCATAACTATGGTATATTGTGGTAATATGTATATCCTGGGTTCAGCTGTAGTACATATATTAATATATAATTTACAGCCTTGTAAGCCAACATTAAAATATCTGCAAATTCAATATTATTAAGGGAGACATAACTGCAGTGTCAGAAGTGTCGGCACAGAACGACTAAATTATCTCTTGGAGACACTCAGGAGCTGGATCCTCCTACTATGTGACTAGATAAAAGCTTGGTCTGTGACTGAAATGTAGTTCATAGGACAATGAACATCTGGAGGTCATGTACGCCAAGCTTCATCTCCTTGGGATTTTTAACTGTGAAGATTTTTTCCCTTTACCTAATTGGAATTTCCCATGTTGCATATTGTGTCTGTTATTTGCAGGCCTTCTGCTGTGTACCTCTGAGAAGTCTGGCTTCATCTTTCCTACACCCTCCCTTTACAGTTCAGCACGGTAATTTTTCCTCTGGCTTCTCTTTTTAAGGCTGACCTAACCCAGCTCACTCAGCTCCTCCTATTACTTTATGTGCCCCAACCCCTTTATCACCTTGGTGGTCCTTGGCTGGATCTGCTCCCTATATCAATGTACTTTTTGTATGGGGGAGTCCGGATTGAATACAGTTCTCTAGTTGCAGACTCACAACTGCAAAACAGAAAGGAAGAAACATCTCCCTTGATGTGCTGGCAACACTCTTGCTAATACACCTCTCGCTTATCACAACTCCATGATGGGACTCAATGTATATGCTACAGATGTCTCAAATGTCTTCAAACAGACATGCAAAATAATCATTTTTCCCTTATTCTTACAGCAAAATACAAAATTAGTGCCATAACACTCTATAGTACAGATTTTCTTACATTATTAACAACTCAAACAAAAGCCAAGCATTAGTATTCATATAGCCTCACTAAAATGCTATAAAAGTATCCAGACAAGGAGATTCTAGTGGATGAATCCTGTGAACTTAAACAATAACATGTTCATATAAAATCTTGCAGTTCATCACTGCACTTGCAGAGAATGCTTTTGAAAAGCTGAAGCAGTAAAGGAGCTGATAATATCCTAGGTTTATGCAATGCTTCTTTTCTTTATTATCATTTCTTTGCAAGCTTCTCAAACATGCTCAAACAGGTGATGTATATTTTCCCTGTCAGCTCTCCTCCCTAACTAAATAATTTACTTTCTAATGTAATAAATGCCGGGCGTATGCTTCCCAGGATGGATGCTTGAATCTAACATTCCATCAGGCAAGCTTTGATTATAGGGGTTTTTTAATTATGGATCTACAAGGCAGACCTGGCACAATACTTTCATGAAACTAGTGTATTAGTTATCTTCAGGTATATCTCAAAAAAGACAGTCTAAAAATGTACTGAATTTGTATTTCCTTTATGTTCAACAGACCAGGATTTACTAGTTCTCATTTCAAGATGAAACTGAGGTTGGGTGAGTATTTCCAAATGTGGGTGCTAAATATATTAGGGCATGTATATGACATAACACAAAAGGACTAATTTTCTGGAGTGTTTAGTGTATGAAACTACTGTTTAGGTTAAAGAGATTTGAAAGTAAGGAACCTGCAGTAAAAGCTCTGCATGACCAACATTTTTTTAATTCAGACCATTTCTATGTGAATTCGTGTGTTTGAAAATATTGGCCCTGGACGTCAGGACATACTATTTCAAACAAATAAATGTGTCTCCATCATCAGTGATAAATTCTAGAGTGTGTTAAAAATGACTGCCATTGATGAAAACAGGACAGGTTTTACTCTGACTTAAATCCTATGTTTTGCATTAAAATCTGAAGTTACTGTACTGTGCTATGGTAACTATTTTTAAAATTACCGTGAACTGCTAGGTGTACAAGAAATTTACTCAGTTGCTGTTTAAGAACTACTACAGAATAACAGAAACTCTAGTGTATGTATGTTCCTTAAAAATACCACATAATGCATGTATTACACTTTACTTGTACAGACAGGTTTTACTGAATATTTAGCAATTCCTGTAACACACGAGCCTAAAGTGTATCATCCTGTCATCAAACTAAAATAGATCTGACATTTTTCTGGCCTGGAGGGGCAATTGTTGCAATTGCTGTTCATTATAATTTAAATTGCATATAGTACCACCAGTGGAAAGAGGAGAGGCTTCTTTGCCTTACCTTTTATCTTTGGAAGATCTGTAGTTATAAATTGAAGCAGGTTTTCTCAAATGACTAAGCATTTTTAATGAAAGTTCTACTGTGTCTCTACTGTTTTTTAATTTTGGAAGGAAGATGCATATATTAGTATTTTTCAGGATATTTCTTGCCTCTAAGCTATAAAAGCATCTCTAAGACATTCTGTGACAAACTAGTCTTTCCTTTGAAGTGATGTTTACTAAAAAAATAAGGAGGGTTTTTTGGCAGAGGAGAATTTAAAATAGGTGTTGTTTCTTTCTTCTTAGGAGGGAAGAAAGGAGGGATAAAATGTTTACATTTATTTGAATTCATGACCATTTAAATTTTAACTGATTCTTCTTCCAGTTTGAAAGACTTCTGTTTCAAGACAGTCTTTCCTACACAGATATTTCCAAAGAACTCTAAAGTATGAGTCATGACTCCCCTTGTTCTTTCCCATTTTAAAAATATAAACAGATCGTTTTTGGACTTTTGGTTTGAAATACATGTGTGAGAGGTGGAAAAAAACCTCGGGCCGTCAACCATCTGGTCTGCTTAATTGCCTTTGCGGAGCACACCAGTTCCACAAATACTGGTGAATATAAAAGGCACATGGTAAAATAGACAATATCACAAAATACGATTATATCATACAGTAAAAATTACTGTATACAGAGATGGGAAGAGGAGCACATACTCAGTTTTTAGTATCATCTTCAGCAATGGAACCCTGTTCCTGAATTTTGGTATAGAAAATATTATGGCAGATGAGCTGAACATGTATTTATAGCCTGAAATTCTAGGACTGATTGTCATGCTAAATAAAAACACAACCACTATATATACTGTTAGAACCAGAACAAAGAGAATGATGGGCAGGGCCACATGTTCCAGGTTTTTTCTTAACTGGCATAATGTAATAAATGAATGATGGAGAGCTGCATGAACCTCTTCAGAAACCTGAAGTTCTTTCTGTATTTAGCATACTGAAAAATCTAGTCTTTCTTCCTGTTGTAGTGCAGAAATGTTGTTTCATGTATTTTGTAAGAGTAATTTGCAGTGTAGAACCGAGACTGAAGCCTGCATGAAGTGCAGAGCACTAGACTTTGTGCACCAATTAGACAAGTCCACAGACTTAAGACAATTCTCCACAGACTTAAGACAATCCTATTCCTAAGCCATTATCTGAGTGTACCTGAGTGTGAGGCTGCTCAGGCAGGCTACATTAGCCAAGCCAAAAATGCAGAGGACAAAAATGGGTGCTTGTGGGCATTGGTCTTGGTACAGGCATTGGTGTCTCCTTACAGGACTGTTTATGCATTCTGAAGTGGAGAACCTTGGGTAAAAATCAGCAGAGGTACTGAGAGCTGCACCCAGGACTAGCATTTTTCCTCTTCCCCACACCCAAAGGCATACTTTATTGCAGTGGTATGACCAGCTCCTTCTGGTCCTGTGAATTTTGTATCCTTAGCTTCACGGCTGCACAACTTCAGTGGAAGACCTGAAGACCTCCAGACTGAAGCTAAGGCACTCTGGAAAAAAGGCTTTGAATCAAACCAATAATGACAGTTGACTTCCCAATTGCTTAGTATGGTCTCTAACACTCAGACTCTTAGAAAAGGCAGCACAGTTTTTTTTCTGTCATGTTTGAACCAAAACAATGAAGTCTGATCTACTGTCTGATTTCAGTATAAGGTTAGGTATGAACTAAATTCAGAAAATGGCTAATATCCCTCTAGGGACTCAGGCACAGGAGAGAGTAGCTCATGAATCCAAGTGAAAAGATGGTTAGCTCTACACAGAAGTTAAACCTACAGTCTACAATTCTGCTAACAAATTCCAGTGTGGGAATATTCAAGTAGCCTTGAATACTGTAGACTGTATTGTTAAACTAAGGCACCAGTATTTCAGCTGGTCTCACCTGAAGTTCTTAAGTCCTTTTGTGGATCTGTGCCTATATTCACAGACATGGTTACTGGCAAGAACAGGTTTTCACAGTGGTGTCTTGGCACTCAAAGCCCTCTGATTTTTATAGCTACACAGTTTGCTTTAAATCAGCATTTAACTTTGGTAATTCACAGCCATGGTGCTTATAAAATATTATTCCGATCTCTCCCCCTCCTCTTCCTTTCCCTCTGAAATTGATAAATAGTCTATCATGTTCTTTATTCTGTCATCTGTCATAGACCACAAAATAATCTCAAAACAACAACAGATTTGATATCTGTAAATCTCAAATACTTTCTTTGTCTAGTTAGAAAATTGTTTTGTATACAAGAAACAATCTAACACTGAGGTAAACTGTATGAAGAAATCATAACACTGTTTTAGTATGTTGCAAATGCTCCTTTAGAATAACCTTCACTGACTCATGGAAGATCTTTTGTGGATGACTGGTTCTTCATAAAACTTTGGTAACTAGGTCCCAGCTGGAACAAAAGCAGCACTCTGCTCTTCCTCCTGATGCTGCAGTACATCAAACAAAACCCCTAGATGCTCCCCATTACAGGTTCAGTATCTGTCTGGTGGTGGTCAAGGTTACAAAATTGTGGGAACCAACCTTGTAGAGCAGAGTCAGTGTGAAAAAGAGTATGTTAAGACAAGAAGAATACATAAGTAAGAATGTTTGCTAGTGCATAATTGTCTTAGATTTCACAGCTTAATTCCTATTTGAATTCTTGCATTGTAAGTGGGTGATTTTCTTCATCTGGTACAGTTACAGATCTTCCCTTAAAGGCTTTTTTCTGTGGCAGCTGCATACTGAGTCTCTGTCATCAGGCTGAGGTACAAGTTCCATTCCATCCCGTATTTCAGGTTTGCTGGCTTGGCGTTTGGCATATTTCTGAAATATGTAAACAACATTTAAGGATGCTATAAGCTCCAACGTATAATTCATGAAACAGAATTTTCCTCCTCCCTTCCACTCACAAGCTTGCCTTTATCCAGGCTCCTTATGTCATTGTTTACAACCTGTGTACAAGGTGTCTTTATAACACACCTACTAATAGGCTACATTACCTCTGAAACCCTCCTTTAATGTCTTCTCCTGTCCTATTATTAATGGTAATTTCAATATTGCCATTATTTGTGCCTCTAACCACTTTACACAGATAATGCTATCATTTTTGTACACTAAACAGTTCCAAACTTTGTGCCAACCTGTGGCTGCTGAGGCTGAGATCTAACCCAGCACAGGAAAACAGGAAAAATAAATTAGTACTTTCAGAGAACAGAAATTTCTTTCACCAGAGATTTGCATCTCCCTGGGAAGCAATGACTGTTCGGCCTGCTTCACCCCTTACCACCCTACTAGTTGTACTTCTGGAACTTCTTTTTCATATATTCACTGTTTTGTAATACAGCACAGTAACTCATGAGTTACGCATGAAGGGAAAAAGGAAGAAAGCTCTGTACAGATTATCCCCTATGCCTATTAGAAACCACATATCAAGTGACACTGAAACCAGGTCTGGACTGTGGGGATGGGGCAAAAGAACATAGCATCTGATTCTGTAAATCAACTATTATGTCAGTTAATGAAGTAAGTTTTATGAAAGTTCTTCAAACTGAACTGTGAATAATATGAACCATGCCTGCTGCTGATTGAATATGAAGTTTGTAGCACCAGTAGCAGTTGGGGAAAATAATAAAAACGATCTACTGTACTAACCTCGAGCACTTTGTAATAGTAGCAGTAAAGCCTGTGAGGCTGAAGTAATTCTCTTGCCATTAATTGTCCTTCTTTAGCAATTCCTCTCGCTTCTTCATCATTTTCCTGCAAAAATTGAGATGAAGTGAATGAATAATAGAGCAATCAGCGAGTTACTCAGAGCCTGGCTGGCATTAGAAGTTTTATTAAAGAAGCTATTCAAATCTGCAACTTTATGTGCAATTACTGGTAGACTGTAAAGGCACATTTCAAACTGCAGATTTTAAAAAAATACCAGATTGCTTTTATGGTCACAACCGCTCCCTTGGGGCTATCAGTAACAGCTTTCATACAACAGGTAATTGCACCATTTGGAAAACTAAGTTGATTACTGCTGTACTGCTCTGTCCAAGCCACAAGCCTCTTCAAAATCAGGTCCAACATCTCCCAGACATACTTAGTTTTACAGAAGACAAAGCCACAGCACTTGTCCTCTCATACACAATCCAATTTGATGCCTTCCTTTAAAAAAATAACTCCACTTGAATTCATGTAATTACTCCCAAGTTTTTTAGGTCTCTGTATGAAAGCTTTTGGTATTCTCATCTGATTCTTTATGATGAACAACAGTACTCTCAGAATATAAACTTCTCCTATGTTTTTTAACTCGACAGCGAAACTTCAAGCACAAATGGTGTTTTCAATCTCACAATGATATTGGTTTGTTTGGTTACACAATGGTCTCATTCTGAGCATGTTACAGAGCAGCAATTTTTGGTACATTCAAACCAAACATGCAGTGACTTCTGTTCTAGTCAAGACCTAAAAAAGATAATAGAATTATTTATATGGTATCTAGGATTCTGGGTGTTTCTTTGAAGATTAGCTGCATTAGTCAGTATACCAAGACTCTGACTCACTAAACATTTCTGCATATACCTAAAATGAATTCTTAAGCATTTCCCTCAATAGAGGTGGTTACTTGAATAACGCCTTCCCAGCTTATATTAACAGCAAAATGTACTTCCTTTATCCCAGGATCTCAATATCAAGTTCATGCATATGAAAAAGAGAATATTAAGATAAATAGTTTACATATTTGTTTATCACTTTGAACTTGAATTAGTAATGGAACTTACCTTAGCCCATTTTATTTTCTCCAGCAAGTCCTCTAAGTTTCTCTTGATAGGAACATAATGTTTCCAAGGTTTCAATCCAATATAAAAGTGTTCATAGTACTGGGAATCTTGCTTCAATACTAGGCAGTCACCCAGCAAGAGGTATGGAAACCTGTAAGCTGCTACAGTCCCATCTACATTCACTTGGTATTTGTACTACAATATGAAGATAGAAGAAAAAAAGATGAAAGGATGTGAATCAGAACAGGAACATTGACTGTATAAAAGCTCATTTTCAGAGGCAAGGCTTAATTGGGTTTATTAATTCTCATCTTCAAACCTGTTTTAATGTTAATCAGGTGTAGTTTCAAGGTGTTCTGGATAACATAGTTGAAAAAAAAAGATTTGTTTTCAACCCAAGACTGACAGTCAAGAATGTTTGTGTCACATGAACTGCCTCAGGGGTATTCTATTAAAGCTGGGAATGAAATAAAACTAATCTATACTTAAATTAAAAAAGATTAAATTTATTCTGATTTAAAATTATGCACTTAAGTAGAATAATCTGAAACATATATAAAATAATCTGAAACATTACAGTAAAAATAACCATGAATGTACTGCTCTGGCAGTAAATGTTCTTGGCTGTTACAGCATTTGATATATTAATCTCTTGAACAGAACTTCAGTTGTCATATATTATAATGGCTTTTTGTGTCCCTTTTACTTTTTTTACCACAGCTGCAGTGGAATTTGTGTGTTACAGTGCAACAAAAACACCCATCTGTTTTTCTGACTTGCTACTACAAGGACTCTGACATTCATAACATACTTGCAACGAACACAAATTGTGCATTGCTCTCCTATATACCCCAAAGAAAAGAAACCCTGATGGTGAGAAATCAAATTTCTCAATCTATTGAATAAATATCCCAGGAATCCTCTTTAGGGAACTCCAGGAAAAAAGTATAGTGGCTTTTTCTAGAAGTGTGTCACACCATGACTTTGATTACAGGTGGTCTATTTACTGCAGGTGAACCAGTGCTCCCAGTGTAGCATAATTGTTTTGTTTACTGAATGGAATTCACAGAAGTAAGCCTTGTCTTCTCATCTGGTAAGAACCTGAAGCAAACTTAATCCAAGACTAATCTGTTTGTTACCTTAAAGAAGTCAAAGAAGCCCATCAGCGGCACCTTCCCCAGCTCTTTTTCTTTTTCTCTGAAGAAGAAATATCCTGTTATTCCAGCATCTAGTAGTTCTGGATTTTCCTTGGATAACTTGACAAGATTGAGACGTTCTTCTCGGCTGTCTCGACCTCTGAATAAAGCTTGCTCTGTTTTGTTTTCCCAGGATGGGCCTACGAGCAATGAGTGGTAAGTTAAAAGCAAACAGTAATGAGATGTTCGTTGTACGTTTAGTGCAAACAAGGAACATGCTATGAAGGTGGCATTATGCTCAGACACATGGTAAAACAGGCATGATTTCTTGCAGTGAATCCATAATCCCTTATTAATCATGGGCTTACACTCCCAGTTCTGGCTTGAATTTTGGGATGAGAAACTGAACCACTTACTTAGAAAAATCAGAGAATTGCTTTTCCACTCAACAATTTTATATTTAAATAACTTGAAATATCTTGCAAGCTACAAAATGGATTATAATGAAATTATGTAAGTACAATACTAATAATTAAAGTAATTGTCCATCCACAAAGCCTGCCACAATAACCAAAATTTCTTTAGTAAAATTTACTTCTGTCACTTAGCAATTTAGTTAGGTCTTTGAGGAATCACTTAATGATGACTTAAAAAGGAAAAAAAGGCTATATGGTGTCCTCAAAATACTTAGCAAGAGCCTGGAAGACTTCATCTCTGCTTACTGCCTGCTTTTAAAAATATGAAATATGTCCTTCCTCATCTTCTGCTGGAAATTTCCTTAAAGGACCTACTAAAGTGGAGTATGCTCTTACCATCTTCTAACTGGAAAAGCAGCTGTATTAAATCAGTAAACACAGTGCTTCAAACAGGTAATTGAACTAAATGACTTAAAAGCTAATAAAGAAAAGAGAAACTGTGAACTGATGAAATAAAAAGAAGTATCTCCTCACTCAAGTTTTACTCCTTAAGTATTGTTCATGCCATTTATCTGAGCCCTAAGTATTCATTAATTTCCTGATTGGGAGGAAGACACCTGTCAGTAAAACTGACTCTTCCTTCAAAGAAAAACAATTTAGAAGATCCCACTTTGAGGTGGGTTTATTTTATATACAGAGAGTATTTTCTTATTTGAAAGAGGCTGCAGCATAGTACTGGTTTATTTCTTTTGGGATTCAAATTCATTTTTATGTAAACAGGACACTGGGCCACATCACTTTAGGAAAAGGATTACTATTTGATTAGAAGGAACATATTCAAGACCTTCACTGAGGAGAAAGGCCTTTTAATTGTATTTACTTTTCTTCTGACAGGTCACAGTAGCTATCTTCTGGATACCTTTAAGTTAAAACTCACAATTATTGTACACTGGACTTAAATTGTGGCTCTAAATCCATATTAAACACCTGCTTAGTAGTAGTGTTAAAAGTGTTTACACTCTGTAAAGACTGACCTACTTGTAGTAAGAGACCTCCTAAGGCACTTGTGAACTAAAGACTTTAAAACATTATTTGAATGCAACTTGCTGCTTTGATAGTTTACAAATCCTTTCTTTAACTCCATGATCTCTCATTTACCTGTATTTCCTTGAATAGAAAGGAGATCATTTGTGACTCCACGTAGGGTTTCAAGAGTCGAGTGGGTTACATCATATGTTGGAAGGACTATATCTCTTGAATCCAAAGAGCCACACCATGAAATGACAGGTATAGGACCAGGTGTATCATTAGCTTTCCGATACTCAACTGGCCAATCTCCAACATTAAGATAGAACTCCACATCAGGAAGGTGAACCTAAATGTATACCCAAGAAAGGATAATAACAAAGACAGAAGTTGTTTGTTATATACTTTCCTTGGATCTCTTATGTCATGCAGAGTCAATAAACCTCCTAGTTAGTTAACAGATTTAGCTGAGTTTAAGGGATGAATTTCAAGTTTCTCCCTGCAAGTATGAAACAAACACTCACAGAGACCACCAAAAGCCTTGCAGAGTTGGGCCTTAGCCCCTGCAGCTTTCCTAGCAATTTCATTACTGTCCAGTTCAATTCCCTAATGTTATATCCCTGAGATACACTGTCATCTTGATGAAAAAAACTGAAGTCAAATCTTACTTCAGGGATTATAGATCTGAATATACAACAACAAATGCAGTATTGCCGTATTAGAACATGACTCAATAGCCCTACATGATCAAAACTGATACCTTTCTTGACAGTGACAGGAGCATTTCATCGGAGAACATTTTGAAGTCTGTATACTTCCCTAAGGAGCGACGGTAGATGCGATTATTGAGAATAGTGTAATGAACAATAGCACCTCTTGTTTGACTGAACTTTGTTGGGATTTCCTTAAGCATTCGCTGAAGGTCAATGGTGGGGAAAGAAGTGAAGTCCTTTGTAATCTGAGGTTCTTGGGATGGGCAAGACATATCATTCTGCCAGATCTCAGGGTCCTCTTCAGGACAGTCACAATATTCATGATAAACTGGTCCTGCAGAAAACAAAGCACTGAGAGTCTGTATTTGTGATTCTATATCAATCATAATTCCCCAAACACACAGTCATATGAATGTAGACACTATAGTGGCTTGACATTTTTTATTCCAAATTTCCTATAGTTTTCCAGGGAAATCATGCTGTAACATTTCTGGGGTTTTGCAGTGTAACTGAAAAAACACCAACATTCTTCTCTTTTCAGAAATCAAAATGCTAGATTTTTTGTTCTCAGGGTAAAATTAATCTGCAAAATGAAGCTCTACTACTGTGCTACCTGCCAAGCATGTAGGATATTGTAATACAGAATTGTTCTAACTGTATATAACTACCAAAGCTCAGGTATTAAAGAGTTTCATTGTTAGCCTAGTTCAGAACTGTGATACAACAGTCTTCACTTGTGGCATAACATGTTTTCTTTTATGTATAATCAGCTATTCTTTCTGTCCTTTTTAAGCAGAGGTGTGAGCAAGAGCCCCATAGAGCATGAGAAAAAGCCCTTATTTCATAGACTTCTAATCAAAACAGGTTCTGTCCTGTGTCATAGTTTCATGGCTGCTGGCAAAGGTGCATCAGCAAAAAGAAAACATCCTACTACCTTGAGGACTCAGGACAGTTTCATTTCAGTTTGAAGAGGTTTCTAAGTTTATATTTAGGAAATGTTATTAAAAAGGAAAAACAAAACCATGCCCAGATTCTCTTTAGAGTGGTGAACTGACACAAGTCTTTCCAGAGAAGTAACTTTATGTTATTTTTTTCTTTGCTAAACAGCTGTCCATTTGAGAGCAAGAGAAGGCAGGTAAAGAAGCAGATCTGGAATGAGAGAATAATTTGCTCTGGTTTCCCTCCTTTTAAATATTTTTTTCATTCCATTGAATTAAACTGGGCTAATGAAAAGGAAGTTAAAGATTGTCTGGTTAAAGAAATACTGTCTTTGTTGTTATGAAGGATCACACTTTTTAGAAATCACAGACATTTGAAATATAAAATGCTGGGGACAACACAAACTCCTTGCTTTTGCAGGTAGTATTTTCTGCCTTAGATAAAAATAACACAACATTTAAGTGAATACTTGCTTGGAAACTGTAAAAATACAAGCATCGCTCTCTTATTCCCTACCAAATCTGAAGAGATCCATTCCCTTATGCAAGAGCGAAGAGGAGATGTCCAGACACTTCACCTTAATGTCAGGGGCCATGATCTACATACTTACGCATCTAGGTCCTGCAAGCTGGCAATGTACAGAGATTGTCGCTGCTTACATCTCTGTATAAGAACATTTCTGAAGAGACCACATGAACAAGGTCAAATAAACCTCTAATTTTCCACCTCTTCCTTTAGCAGTAAGTTAATCCATAGCATTTCTGTGGCTGCCACTATATAGTAAATAAAAAATATACCCTTACCTTTTAAAATATAAGGAGATTGTGCTACATGCTGATCACCATAAAGTATCTCAATTTTTAACCCTTTTCTGACACTCCCATACATCCGATACCGCATAAGAAATGTGCCATCGTTTCTATCCAAAGGCCGAGGAGTGTAAATTCTGGTGACTTCTTTTGGAGAAAGTGCTTTAATTACCACTTTAAACTCTGTTCTTCCTGAAAAGAGTAAAATAAAACCAGACAAAAGCCCTTTAAGCTGATGGAATCACATATACAAAATAAAGGTGAGAGCAAACTCTACTGGATTAAGTCCATGGAATTTTGTTTAATTTTGCACTAGAAATTTTTTGATTATACCAAGTTGGTAAAATAAATTTCCAGCAATGGAAGATCATCCTACCAAATTTTCTTGATCATCATATACCTAATAAATGGAAAACCTGTAGATGGAGATAAAAAGTTAAATAATGATTACAAGATAGAAGGAAATGCTAATAGTATTTTGAAGCAGATTAGGTTTAATACTAAGTTTTCAAGTTAGTGCTCTCTGGAGTAAGAAAGTTAGGAAACCAAGTTAAAATAACAGGAGAAAAGAATACTTGCCAGCTTGTGGAAAGGCAGTTGCAGCATGCGGGAGTCAGATACAAATTGTTCACCTTTGGGCTGCAGCTGACTGTCTTGCAAATTTAAAGTCCCAGCTACTGAAAAGCAGGGATAAGAGAATGATAGTAGATAAAGATGTTCCCTGGACATCTGTCTGACCTGTGCTTGAAGATCACCAACATTTGATCATTAATGCAGTGTGACATTTTAATGGGGCATGGAACACCTTGCAGACAACATGAATATGCATAAATATAAATCTGTTACGCTCCCTTATTTTGGTCACAAATGGTCAGCATGAACTTTATTCTTCAAAAAAAGAGGGGAAAAGTTATTCACCAAATACTATAGTCTAAGCCTTGCAAACCAAACAAATGAATGCATGTTACAACAAAGCAGTACACACAAAGAAATGAAACTGAAAAAATCCAGAAAAAATCAAGATATTAAAATTCCAATGTGTCCCAACAGCACTAAATGACTGAGATGTTACAGTTAATTCAAGACTGTCACAGCTTGGGATCTCTACAGCTTGGATCTGTGTCAGTAGAACTGACTCAGATTGGCTCATCTGCATCCTAAAACGGTTCTTTTTCCAAAATGTGATTCTATAGTACAGAGAAGATGTTTTAAAACTTCAGTCTGATAACATAAGAATTATAGGCATCAAAGTAGTTTCTGGGAATCAATTAATTCTAGTTCCACATTTGCTTTCTCTTCCTTGAATTAGTGTGAATTCTGCAGCCAGTTTCAAAACTGTTTATGAGTCAGATACCCAGAACTATTCAGAGAGTAGTCAAGTTCTTTCTAAATATATCCTCTAGCTCTTCTTCAATCTGTGCAAGATTGTGTTGTACCATGCAACCTGGTAATAGAAACATAATGGAGAAACAAAGAATAACAAGAATCACAGAATTGTTGCACCTTGAAGTGACCTCAAGATCATCTAGTCCAAACCTCTTGCTCAGGACAGCCTGCCCAGGACTGTGTCCTGTTAAATTTAGCATACCTCCACAAACGGACACGCCATAATCTGGGTAATCTGCTCCAGTGTCTGACTGCCTTCACAGTAAAAGAATTCTTGTGTTCAAAATGAATTTCAAGTGACTTCTTCCTGTCTTCAGGAACCTCTCCTGTTTGCTGTGATCTTACAGAGATGATCACAAGTGGCCTCACAATGATGTCAGCCACCTCCCTGAGCACTCCTGGGTGCATGCCATCAGGCACCACACAACTTGGGCATGCCCAGATATTTAAGGGTTCCTCAACCAGTTCCTTCTCCACCAAGGGTAATCTTCTTTGTGCTAGACTTTCCCTCTGGTTTCAGGGGCCTGGGATTCCTGAAGGCTGGTCTTACCAGTAAAGGCTAAGGCAAAGAAGGCAGATTTATTTAACTATCCCAGCAAGGATATTCTGAGATGTATTTAGTTTATAATGGAAAGAAGTGCCCTAACAAATACTACTAACTGCAGCTCCTACTGACAGTTTACAAATAGAATTTTAAACATTTCAAATGAAATTTACAGCCCATGTCTGTATGAGTACATTAAACAGTGCACATGTGATGGAATATGATCAACTGTACCATTATATTGTTAAAGGATCCTTGGCTCCTAAATAATTCCTGGCATGTCTCAGCAGTTAGCATGGGCCAAGCCAGCAGCTCTTTTTGGCAGCATGCATGCACTGCCTCGGAGTGGAGCCTAAAGAATGTCATGGTGTGAATGGAGACCACTCCTTGCCAGATGGCATCAGGAGCCGGAAACATTCTGAAGACACTGAACTTATACTAACATGAACATACTGAGGTCAAAGGTAGGTTCTCAGTACCCGCCTCCTATCAAGCTCATCTTGGAGAATTTAAACTAGCACAAGAATCCAGCTGAGCTTCACACCTTTTTACCTTTAGCAGCCTTTTGTTTGAACCCAAGGCTCTCCCCATGTGGCTGAAATCAGCCCACACTTCACCGGCAGGATGCAGTTGCATTCTTCAGTACATGTCATTAGTACTGACTTGGTGCTGCAATCCAGCACAGCAGCTGGAGAAAGTCCAGGCCTGAAATAAGTGGGGTTTTGTCTGACTGAATACGTAAGCTCTATGACAGATGCCTACTGTTTAACTGCACAAGCAGCAGGAGCCTGCTAGCTGTAAGAGAGGAAGAGCCCATGCAAACTCAGTAGGTATCCTCGCAGTGTCATCTATACCAATATTAAACACAGAGCAAAATAATGAGCTCTACCTTATTACATACATTAGGAACACAGGATTGACACTGCAAGTCTATCTCATAATGAAATCCTCAATGCAAAAGTGGGTTTTATTCTAAATTACAACTACTAATACAGTGTGTGGAATTAACTTCCAGCAGAGAACAGCTGACTGGCAGCATGCTGCCGGACTGTGAGAACAAACCCCAATTCCCACCTTCGGGAGAAGTGTCGGGACGATTTGTGCTTGTGCTGAGTAAACAAGAGGAAAATTGCCCCTTGTTAACGAAGCAGCAGTAGGATAACGGAGCTCAGAGTGCCGTGCTGAGACACGACACTGTAAGCAACCCGTGTGTGTTCACCACTACAGCAGATAATTACATCAGAACTTCTGAGCAGGGTTCTGCGATTTCTTTACCAAGAGCACTGGTTTCTTCAAGCTTGCTGCTGTAAATCACGCACTTTCGAGCCTATAGGCAAGACGCGGAGCTCTACGGAAGGAGGCACTGAGCTGCACCAAGAGAAAGGAGGGATTCGACCATGTGCTCCGCTCATCCGTCCGCCACCGGACCAGCGTGTACCGGGGATGCGGAACCGGGCGGATGCTGAGAGGGGCTGGAGGAGAGTGGGGCAGCCAGCGCTCGGGACCAGGGAGGGAAGGAAGAGGAAGAGGGAAAGAGAAACGAGAAAAAGGGAAGGGGTGTGCTGCTCCCACCGGCTCCTCCGAGGACACCGGGGGCACCAGGGCCGGGGTGTCTATCCCGCCCGCCCGCAGCCCACTCACGGTACCTGGCGGGGAGCGGGAGAAGTTGCGTCCGGCCGCGCTGACCGCCTGGATGTAGAAGTACCGCACGGGCAGGGTGAGCCCCGCCGCCAGCCCTGGGCCCCACGCCAGGCTCCGCTCGGCGCTAACAGGGTCCGGTGCCTCCGCCGGCCGCAGGAGCGGCACCGCGGCGCCCAGCAGCAGCGGCAGCAGCAGCCCGCGCCTCCCCATCGCCACTCCGGGCCACGCACACAGAGCGGGCGGCCCGGGCCTCCTCCGGACGTGCGCGTCCCAGCTCCCCGCAGGCAGTCGCCGGCTGCTCCCCGCCCCGCGGGCCCGCCGAGGCCGGGTGTGCCGGAGGGAGGCGCGGGAAAGGCCGGGTTGGCCCCGAGCAGCTCAAGCGGCGCTGCCTCCCCTCTCCTCCTCTTCCGCCTGCCCGGGGGGGGGGGGGGAGTTCGGGGAGCGAGGGCCTCCCCCTGCAGAGCCCGTGTGCGCCAGCTGCAGGGGCTGTGCCCCGCTGCGGAGTGTGTGAGGGGAGCAGCGGGGCTTCGTGCGGCGGAACAACGAGCGCCTCGGCCGGCGGCCTTTCCCCTGGCTGGGTCATAGTCACAGCATCAACCAGGTTGGTAAAGACCTTTAAAGATCATCGAGTCCAGCCGTTACCCAAGGAGTGCCAAGGCCACCACTAACTCATGTCACTGAGGGCCTCATCTAAACGGTTTGTGAACACTTCCAGGGACGGTGATTCCACCACTGCCCTGGGCAGCCTGTTCCAACGCCTGAGCACCCTTTGGGGAAGGAATTTGTACTAATACCCAGTCTAAACCTCCGCCGGTGCAGTTTGAGGCCATTTCCTCCTCTCCTATCACTTGTTAACTTGGGAGAAGAGACCAGACACCTCCTCACTCCATCCTCCTTTCAGGTAGCTGTCGAGAGCGATAAGGTCTCCCCTGAGCCTTCTCTTCCCCAGACTAAACAACACCAGTGCCCTCAGCCATCCACCATCAGACTTGTGCTCCAGACCCTCCACCAGCTCCATTGCCCTTCTCTGGACCCACTCTAGCATCTCAATGTCTTTCTTGTCATGAGGGGCCTGGAACTGAACACAGGATTCGAAGTGCGGCCTCATCAGTGCTGAGTACATGGGGATGATCGCTGCCCTGGTCCTGTTGGACACACTATTTCTGGTACAGGCCAGGATGCTGTTGGCTTTCACCTGGGCACAAGCTGGCTCATGTGCAGTGGCTGTCAATCACAGGTCCTTCTCCTCCGGGCAGCTTTCCAGCCACTCTTCCCCAAGGCTGGCAGGCTTCAGGTCCTCAGACTGCACTTGCGGATGCAGAGAAAGCCCAGTACTGCTGGTGTGAGAGCGGGGAGTGAGTCCCTGAGCACAGGTCTGTGGGAAGGCTGCACTGAGCCCAGTGCATTCACGTCCAAGGAGCTCTGCCTTCCCTGGCCTGTGGGTGCTGTGTAGGCCAGCATGAGGAGCAGCTGATCTGTGTGTGTTCTCCTCTTAAACAGCACATTACCTGTGGTGTAAGACACAATATAGCCGGCAGCTGAACTGCTGCTCTGGAATTTGAAGAAGAAAAAAACATACAGTCATGGAATCATAGAATGTTTTGGAAGGGACCTGAAAGTTCACCAAGTTCCAAACCCCCTGCCATGGGCAGGGACACCTTCCACTAGACCAGGTTGCCCAAAGCCATGTCCAACCTGGTCTTGAACACTGCATTGTTCATGATGGAGCATTTACTACTTCTTTGAGCAACCTGTGCCAGTGTCTCAGCACTCTCATAGTAAAGAAGGACAAAGCAGACCCTGTTGGGATGTACAGGCACATTCCCTGCTGCTGGGCTCAGCTGCTGTTGTGGGGAGGAGGCCAAGCTCAGAGCTCTCAGGGTGAGAAGCTGCCAGTGGCTCTCACCAGGTGGTAATGCCAGGTGACAAGGAAAGAGGCATCATAATATTATTCTCTAGAAAATGTAATGGATTTAAAGTACCGAAGCAATGGGTTTAAAGTGATGGAATACAAGTGAATGGGGGAAACCTCCCATGAGTCATCTCCTAAGGTTGTTGTATCATTTTTCCAGAAGTGTTTGCTCTACTAGGAAGTATTCCAGGGTGTTAGTAGATGGGGGGTTCCAAGGCTGTAGGAGAATTAAATCAAGCTTCCGTGTAAGGCTGGATTTTCACATGCAAAACAATGATAGCACAAATGAATGCTGCATGGTTTTGAATAACATGAACTTCAAGTCTCTGTACATACAGACCGTGAAAAACAGGTTCCTTGAAAGTGGAATTATCAAGTCTGGTTTCCTCATTGCTTTTGTCTTTAGTCTCCTAAACTCCCTCACTTCAAATAACCACAGATCTCCACTGACATACCATGTGTGATACTCCCAACAGGCAAGAGAAAACACATATGGAGTTACGGATGTATCATAGTTTATGCCCATTCTGGAACTAAGTATTATGCAGCTGCTCACTCACTCCCCACCTCCTGGTGGGATGGGAGGTGAGAATTGGGAAAAAAAAACAGGTTAAGAATAATTTTATAATTGGATTAAAGCAAAAAATATAATTATTATAGAATCATAGAATCACTGAATGGTTTGGGATGGAAAGGACCTTAAGATCATCAAGTTCCAACCCCCCTGCCATGGGCAGGGACACCTCACCTAAACCATGTCACCCAAGGCTTCATCCAACCTGCCCTTGAACACCGCCAGGGATGGAGCATTCACAACCTCCCTGGGCAACCCATTCCAGTGCCTCACCACCCTTACAGTAAAGAATTTCCTCCTTATATCCAGTCTAAACTTGCCCTGTTTAAGTTTTAACCCATTACCACTTGTCCTATCACTACAGTCCCTAATGAAGAGTCCCTCCCCAGCATCCCTATAGGCCCCCTTCAGATACTGGAAGGCTGCTATGAGGTCTCCACGCAGCCTTCTCTTCTCCAGCCTGAACAGCCCCAACTTTCTCAGCCTGTCTTCATACAGGAGGTGCTTCAGTCCCCTGATCATCCTCGTGGCCCTTCTCTGGACTTGTTCCAACAGTTCCATGTCCTTTTTATGTTGAGGACACCAGAACTGCACACAATACTCCAAGTGAGGTCTCACAAGAGCAGAGTAGAGGGGCAGGATCACCTCCTTTGACCTGCTGGTCACGCTCCTTTTGATACAGCCCAGGATACAGTTGGCTTTCTGGGCTGCGAGCACACACTGAAGCCAGCTCATGTTCATTTTCCCATTGACCAACACCCCCAAGTCCTTCTCTGCAGGGCTGCTCTGAATCTCTTCTCTGCCCAACCTGTAGCTGTGCCTGGGATTGCTCCCATCCAGGTGTAGAGCCTTGCATTATTATTATGATTTATTCTTTATTTAGATTATTAATTAAATAGGGAAAGGAATAAAACCCAATAAACCCATGTGATGCACAATACAGTTGCTCACCACCTGTCAACCGATACCCAGCCTGACCCAAGCAGTGATCTGGGCCTTCCGGGTAACTCCCCCTAGTTTATATACTGGGCTTGACGTGCTCTGATATGGAATACCCCTTTGGGTAGTTTGGGTCAGATGTCCTGTTTCTGCTCTCTCCTGGCTTCTTGTGCCCCTCGTCACTGGCAGAGCATGAGACTGAAGTCTTTGATCAGGCTGCTCCTTGGGGAATGGGGTGAGGAGCATAGAACCGGCTGGCAGCAGGGCTTCACCAGGGCCCTCCCTACATGTGGCAGACAGCCTGTGGGGCAGCTGAGAGGCCACATCACCCAGCAGGCTTGTGGGGACAGGACAGGGCTGAGGTCAGGCAGCGACATCAATCTGCAGATCAGGATCAGGCCTGTGAGGGGAACTGCGGTCAGACCCAGCTCTGGGGTGGCTGCAGGGCCCTGGGAACATAAGCCTGCACATGGGGCTGAGCTTGGCAGGGGCCAAGGCTGGTCAGACAAGGCTGTAGGGAGATCATAGAATCATGGAGTGGTTTGCAAGAAACGTTAAAGCTAATTTAGTTCCAACCCCCCTGCCATGGGTAGGGACACCTTCCACTAGAACAGAGTTC